AGAATTAGTTCTTTCTGGCTACCAGCAAAAAGAATATAAAACAGAAGAAGCTTTCTGGAAATATGAAAAGATTTCTTGTAAATAAAGTTGATATGAACTACAGAAATTTCTGCGAGTCATAGAAAATCACTTTTGGTCTTCACTATAGAATCTGCTACATCCCCAGAACCTTCCTTAAGTTGATCAAATGAATGGTCAACTAGGTGGCACAGTGGATAGAATGCTGGGCCTAGAGTCAGGAAGACTCATCTTCCTGAGTTCAGATTTTGCTTCAGAAGCTTACTAGCTGTGTGACCCTGGGCAAGTCACTTAACCCCATTTGCCTAAGTAGCCTCATCTATAAAATGAGCTGGAGAAGAAAACGGTAAAGCACTTTGCCAAGAAAACCCCAATGGGGTCATAAAAAGTTGGACACAACTGAACAACAAAGCTATTCCAAACCTTTTCCTTACAAGGCACCTATCTCATAACCTCTCCCAACTGCTTCTCAGGAGACAACTTTGCCTCATACTTAACTAAAAAAAAAAATGAAGGCTATTCGTCCTAACCTCCCTCTCCTCCTCTATTCCATATTTCATATCAATGCAGTAGCATCTCTGATCTTTTCCTTTGCTCTACTCTCAGATCAGACTTTCTCCTTGCCGACACCAGCCCCTCTACTCGATCCTATTCTTTCTTTTCTAAAAGCTAGCCCCTTTGATCATCCCTTCTTCCTAATTTTCAATCTCTCTTTATCCACTGGTTCCTTCTCTGCTACTGACAGGCATGCCCAGATCTCCGCCATCTTAAAAAAAAAAAACCTTCTCTTGACCCCACCATCCCTTCAAGCTATCATTCTTTCTACCTCTCCTCCTTTTCAAAGCTAAACTCCGACAAAAAGCTAGCTATGGTATTGCCTCCACTTTGTCACTTCCTACTCATTTCTCAACCCCTTGCAATCTGGCTTCCACATTCTGCTAGACCAATAGTGCTTTAAGGTCACCAGTGATCTCTTTATTGCTAAATCCAGTAGGCTTTCTAGCCCTTATCCTTTTGACCTCTCTTCAGTATTAGATCTGTTAAACAAATCACTTTCTCCTTTTATAGCTATAGCTAGCTAGCATTTATATAGCAGCTTTAAGGTTTGTAAAGGGTTTTGCAAATGTTATCTCAGTTTACCCTTACAACAATCCTGGTAGGTAAGTACTATTACTGCTTTACATTTTACAGATAAAGAAACTGAGGCAAGTAGCGGTCTAATGACTTGCCAGGGCCACACAAAGGTCTGAAGCTGTATTTCAGCTCAGTTCTTATTGACTCCAAATGCAGGCGTTATCTACTTGCACCATTTAGCTGCTTCAGGTACACTAAACCTATGGGCCAGGAAAAACAATCAGTAATAGTACTATTTTGATGGTGATCTGCCAGTACTGACAGAGGGCTATATCAGAAAAAGCTGGGTTACCCTGGGAACCTTTTCCTATGTCGAGGAGGAAAGTTAAGTTGTTAAGATGCATACCAAGCCCTTAATGTATGTCAAGAGGTTTGCATTTAGCAGTCATTCCCTCCTATGTTCCTCTCCCACAATTTCCTAACAAAGGTATGTGGTGAGGAAGGCAGGCTGCTGGAAGACACATATCATAGGATTTGTCGTTGTTCCGTTGTGTCAAACTCCATGTGACCCCATGGGTGTGCCCATGAGGTTTTCTTGGCAAAAATACTGGAGTGGTTTACCATTTCCTTCTCCAGGATGTCCCCATTTTACAGATGAGGAACTGATTCAAATAGGGATTAAGTGACGTGCCCAGAGTCATACAGTTAGTAAGTCTCTGAGGTCACATCTGACCTCAGATCCTTCTGACTCCAGGCCTGGTGCTCTATCCATGGCACCACCCAGCTGTTCCTTACCATATGATGGTCATAAGCAAAAATAACCTCGAATGAGCATGATACAATACAGTACATATGCCAGTGCTTACTGACCTCTGCCTTTAAATAAATAATTTTAAAAAAAGATAATGCTAATTAGTATCAATTTAAAGGAAAAAATGATAAACCTTAATTCTGAATACTCTCTCCCGTCTGGATTTTTGTGACACTACTCTGTTGTGGTTCTCTTCCTATCCATCTGATTCTTCTCAGTTACTTTGCAGGTTGGTCATCTATATTTAGCCCCAATGTATGTAACCTAGGGCTCTGTATAGGGTCCTCTTATTTTCTTTTGATGCACTCTGTCTTGGTGATTTCATCAGCTCCCATTGATTCAAATATCATCTCCTATGTAGATGACTTCTAAATGTATACACCCAGCGCTCATCTCTGCCCCGAGCTCCAATCCTGCATCTCCAACTGCTTGTTGGACATCTCCATGTGAATGTACCATAGGCGCCTCAAATTTGGCATGTCTAAACCAGAACTGATCATTGTCCATACTCTTCCTCCCAATTCCCCTGTTTATGCTCAGGTCCTTTCTCAAGCTACACTGCGCAACTCTAATGGGTTGGCCGTGTTGTTCAAATAGCAGATGTATGTATGCCCAAGACTGTCATGGAGAACTCATGCAAGGCAGACACTCGCATTGTCAGATGAAGTGATACAAGGACACACTCAAGGTCTCTCTGAAGAACCTTAGAATTCTGTGACATGGGAGATACTGTCAAAAGGAGCAGCATGGCATGCCCACACCAAATAAAGCACTGTGCTCTATGAACGATGTAGAATTGTAGTAGCTCAAAAGAAGTATGAGATGTACAAATTTAGAGACATCTCCTCTCCAAACGTTCATATGGACTATTTGTGCTTGACCTGTGTTAGAGCCTTCCAAGTTCACGTTGGTCTGATCAGCCACAGTCAGACACACCATGACTTCAACATAATAATGTCATTTTGGTCCTCTTTGAGAATGAAGAAGACCCAACCAACCAACAATTTATGCTGTGAGCATGACCATCCTTTCAGTTACCCAAGTTCACAATCTCAGCATCATTCTCCATTCTTCACCCCACATATCTAGTCAGTTGCCAAGTTTTTATCAATTTAGACTGCTCAATATCTTCCCCACCTGTCCCTTTCTTTCCAATCTAGTCCAGGCCCTCCTTGCTGCTTACCTTGACCTGCAACAGCTTCCTAATTGTCTTTTTTGCATCTAGACCATCCCCTCTCCAACCATCCTCCAAACAGTTGCCAAATCTGATATTCCAAAATTCAAGTCTACCCATATTATTTCTCTGCTCAAGAAACTTCAATGACTCCCTATTATCTTTAGGATAAAGTACAAGCTAACTTTTTGGCATTCCACAATTTGGCTTCAGCCTGTATTTCTGCATGGATTACATTAGTAAGTGCCTAACGTGTGACTGACTGGACTGATCCTTCCAGCTGTTCATGACATCTTCCATCAGTCTGCATTTATTTTGTATATGTCTTCCATTTACTTATCTGTGAACCTATTGCATCTCCATAATAGAATGTGAGCTTCTTGGGCACAAGGTTCGTCCTCCTCCTGCATTTTTATCCCCAATGTCTGGCATGGTGTCTGGAAGGCCATGGTGCTTAATAAATACTTGAATGATAATCCCATGACTTGGTGTTGGGGATCTGTAAGGATGTAGAGGGCCACAGGCTGTTCATGAGGTCTCCCTGATGGGGGGGGGGGAAGGACCCTCTCCGGTGCTGATCTCTGAGCAAAGGTCGCCTGGTTCGGTGCTCCATTGTATGGATCTTTAACAATCTTTAACTCCCCTAGTTATCATATGGTCATTAGCAGTCTATTCTGGGATTGGAGTCAGATAAGTGCACAGGATGTGCATGCATTGTCCTTGAGCACAGCATGGGCTATACGTAACTTGAGAAAGAGTTCCTGTTATTTTACTATATAAGTAAGTGATTTGCTAAAAATAAACAGAGTTGCTTCCATCTTCTCTCCCGCCTCATCAATGCGCATTCGAGATAGGTTAAGCTGGCCTTATCCCTTCAAAGTTAGTTGTGCACAACTTAGGAAACCAGGAAATGAAATTGAACATTACTGGCTTCCCAATGTAACAGGTTCTACCTCATTTCTAGGGGTGCTAAATAAACCAGTGATTATACAGCAGAAGACACAGAAGATAAAGGGGGCTTTGACTTAAGTCTTCTCAATCTGAACTGACAAAATAATCACACAAGAATCAATAGGCTGACAAAAAGGAGAAATTGACAAATTGAAATTGTTGGTGGAAAACATGTTCTTGTAAAATGAGCTCAGAACATAATTAGGAAAAAAAAACCATTCCTCCAGAATGTTTAAATTAAGTGGCTGTCTCTCCAGAGATACACACTTAGCTGACTAAAACATTCAATCCTCAGCCATCAAATTCTCTTTCTTCATGAATCCCAGTGAGGGTCTCATCTCCTGGAAATGTCACCCAAAAAGGGGTGGAAAGTATGCATCTATAAAACCAGACTGTTGCCTGCATTTATGGTCTGGCTACTTGAGGGTGCCATGTCTTTATGGTGCATAGCATCAGCCTAGCTACTCAGCTGGTAACCTAAAACCAGTAAATCTTGCCTTTTCTGTATGCAGAGGAACTATGATTGATAAACCACCCTCTCACACCACCAAGGCACTTGATCAGCCCCAGAATATCAAGGTATGAGGCTTTAACAAAAAACTGCCATCAAAACCTCCTTTAGGATAAGGTTTTTGTACTTGTTTGAATTAAAATCAACAGAATGAATAAAGTATGTGAATATGAGAATCAGTTACAGTTTATTTCAAATAAAGGAAGGGAAGGTCAAAGCATGAAATTAAAATTCTGTATACATTTTTAAGTCTCAAGTGGTCTTCAGGATAAATCCATTAGTAATCAATAACAAGGGAAATTAATTAAGGTCTTGAGTTCTCTTTTTTAGTAAGACTACATCTTCTGATTAGGTGCATGGATAGATGGGAAGGAGGACTGAGCAGGGCAGGAAGACAATCAAATGTCATAAACATGTTGTCAGAACAACATATATGTCCCTACAGAAAAAAGCAAAATGGATGAGAAATTTTTAAAATAAATTTATTTCTCCTTTGTTTTTATATCACCTACATTTCTCAATGTACACAGGTATTGCTTATAGCAGAATAAGAGAAGGAAAAACAGAACAGCAAACTAACCAACATAACAAACAAGTCTGACATTATGCAGTGTTCCACATGCATAGTCCCAGGGCTGGAGGAAGGTTAACTTTTATCTTTTTTTCCTTTGGGCCAAGCTTATTATTATATTACATATAATTATATATTATTCTATTATTCTATATATTATTATAATTTTGAAGTGAGTTTAGTTTCAATGGTTCTGTTGTTACTGTAGTCATTGTGTATACTAATCTCCTATGTCTGCTTTCTTCTCTTGGTATCAGTCTTACCACATTTCTCTATTCATTTCTCACAACACAGTAATATTCCATTACGTTTATGCACCACGACTTATGCCACCGTTCCTTCAGTGATGGGCATCTGTTTCTTGCTCCTTGCTACTACAAAAGCTGCTGCTATGCATTTGGGTGTATACTGTCTTTCCCTTTTTCACTGTAAGTGATGAGAATGAGGGCTGTCCTTTGCTATTCTTTATCTCCAGAGTTTAGCACATGGCCTGGCACACAGTAGGCACTTAAGAAATGCTACATGACTGTACCTGAAGCATATTCCTAGCAATGTAATCTATGGGCATAAGTACGAATGTTTTGGCTCTTTTCTTCATATTACTCTTAAAACGCTTTCAAAAATGGTTGGATCAAGTCACAGCTCAGTGGGTGATTTTCAAAGAAGTCAGGGAATCAAATTTAATTGCTGTTTTCTTTGGTGTTTAGCAAGATGCATGAATTCAATTAAGTCTTTTCAAAGGTTTTTTAAGTGGGGTCCATGGACTGATTTCAGTGATCTGTGAACTCGAATGGGAAAAAAATTACACCCTTATTTTCCCTAATCTCTAAATGAAATTTAGCATTTCTGTCAATTATTTAAAAACACTATTCTGAGAAATGGTTCAAAGGTTTCACCAGGTTTCCAAAGGGGTTCACGCCACAGAAAAAGGTGAAAACCCCTGGTCTCCATCACTTTGTTGAACCCTGTAAAAATCAAGCAGTTTTAAAAGGCCCTATAACTGGCTTTTAATAGCATCAGATTTTCACAGGCTCAACCAATTTACATCACTTTCTGCCAAAGGACAGTGCAGTACAGTGGAAGGAACACTGCCTCTGGTGTCAAAGACCCTGAGTCCAAATCCCACCTGCCATTTATTAAACTAGTATGGCCCTATTTCTTATTCGCCCTAGCCCTCAGTTTCCTCATTTGCAGAATGACAGCATTGAAACAGACGGCCTCTGAGATCCAAAATCCCATCGGGTTTGTGGAGTTCTACATCTAACAAGGGCAGTGGGAATCCCATGGTGGAGGAGTTGGCTTTTTCCTCCCCTTGTAGCCTACTACTTCTTTTACTGGGAGTATCACCACGTAATGGATAATGCACCAGACTTGGGAGTTAGGAAGACCTGGATTAAAATCTTTTCTCAAGACATTTAATAGGGGTGGGAGCCTCGGTAAATCACCAAACCTCTATGCCTTGTTCCTTCTTCTATAAAATGAAGGGACTGGAATCAATGGACTCTAAGGCCTCAACCAGCTCTAGGTCTATGATCCCATGAATCCATAACTACACAGAACATACTCTAAGAGTTTAGAGGTTCTCTTTCTTTTTATGCAAAACACAAACTTATATTTTATCCCACCACTGAAATAGAACTAGCTTACTGCCAGAGGAACAGAGATTACAGGTTAAAATGAACTGGAATTCTCTGACTTAAGACTTTACACTAATAAATATTTCAAACAACTCCTGGAAGACAGAACGATACAGCAGGAAAAGAGTTGGACATGAGAGCCAAGTGGCTGAAATCCCACCTCCAAAATCTAATTCTGAGTATCAGTGAGTGGGGGAGGGGGGGAAGACATTTCATTTGATCTTCAATTTCATCTTTAATGATAACACTTATAGTCCCCACCTCACACGACTAACGTGAGGATCAGATGTCAGAGGGAATGGATGAAAGGCCCTTTTTGGACTCTGAAGCACTACATGACTATGAGCTATTTTCACATTTTCCCTATTTGCCTACTTTTAAATTTTCTTAAATGGTCACTTTTGTTAACAAGTGCTTTCTAACAGAGCAATAACAGTACGGGTTAGTAATCAAGTGTCAGTCTTTGCCATTCCCCCATCACCGACAACTGCTCATTCTACGAACCCTAGAGTCTGGCCTTTTCCCCTGACATCCTGCCCTAATTCCTTCTGAATTCAATCCTCCTCGCTACATTCTTAGCACCAAATTTTTTTATCAATTTACTTCTGGTATTCTCATCATCTTTCTGCAAATCCACATCATCCTGTCGGGTCCAGATTGGATATCCATCAGATCGCCGGCCTGTCTGCAAGAAAGAACAAGTGGCTTCCAGTTCCCCACTGTTTTTCAAGAAAGCTTGTGTGACCGTTGCTAGATCCACACTAAACTCCTCCATTAAGTGTTTGATGACTTTGATGGCAGCTCCCACTTCAGGTGAAAGAGAAGGGCTAGAACCGCTTTCCTCTGCTTCAGGCTGCGTTTCCAATAAAACAGAGTCTTCAATGACCTCACTGTCCTCTGGAGCCTCTTTCAAACTGGACTTATTTTTTCCAGGACTGGTCAGCTCTCCATTTTTAATCACAGTTAATTCAAGGTCAGGGGTCTGATCATGAACCTGAAAGTAATGAAATGAGAAAGCTGAGGTAGTTCACATTATCTAAAGCAACCAAAGGAGAAAGGTAATTAGGACCCCAAGCAGTTGTTACAGGAATGTTAGAGATGACCTGGTGCAGTTCTCTGATTTTACAGATGAAAAAAAGAGGCTCACCATAGCAATGACTTTACTTCAGGTCACTAGCGACCAGCAGAATCAGGAAAAAAACAATTCTCCTAATTCCAGTTCAATATGGTGAGCTGGACTGCTATTTAAAGTCTGACTGGACTATAATTGAGCACATGCCCATCCATTGGACATGGTGGAAAAATCAATATAAACCACATACTTGGAGGAGTGGTAACAGCTTCTACAGTGGAAATATAAACTAAAGTCAAATGCAGATCACTGGCTGGCAAGAAGCAACCAGTTCCCACAGACTTAACTATATTATTTTCAAAAATTAATTTAAAACATTTATGTTTTTATTGTTATGTCTCAAAAACAGACTAACAGGGATCATTTTAATGACTAATCTTCAGTGTGGGATAGTGGATATAGAGCTAACTTCAAAGAGGAGGCAGATGTGGGTTCAAGCCCCACCTCTGGGCAAGTCACCAAATGTCTAAGTACTCAAGGCAGCACTCAAGAAAATGATGATCTATGTGAGTAGAGATCCCTATTCCAATGAAACCTCAGGTCCAATCACCATTCCTGTTCCTGCCCTGGTTCCCTTTCAAGTTCATACATGTTTCCACATACTATCATTCAATGTGGAATGTCAATACATATTAGAAATTGTACTGAACATGGCAGAGACACATAGTGACACAAAGCTATACTTGACAAAAAGAAAAAAAAGCTGACATATTTTCTTTCTTATTGTTTAAAGCTAAGTTTACATTCTTGAAGACCATTAAAGTTGCTTTTCTAAAAACATAAAGCCCAATTTAAATAAACAAATGAGTAAAAGCAAGTTTGGGACCAGTGCCCAAAGGAGATGTATTTTATAAATGAACACACCTACTGTATTGTTCCCCCCCCCCCCCTTAACTGGAGCAGTTCCATTTTCTAGTCCTAACAGACTCTCTGCCCAGGACTTTCTTGGGGACTCCTCACCTTCAATTATGCTCTTAACTGCTCATGTATCTGTGTCTACATCTCTGGTTTGTGCTGAGCAGCAGAACAAAGGAGATGACCGGGAGGTGGAAAAAAGTATTTAAGAAAACACTCTCAAATGATGAGCAGGCAGATTTCAGAAAAACCTGGAAAGACTTGTACGGACTGATGCTGAGTGAACTGAGCAGAAGTAGGAGAACATTGTACATAATAACAGCCACACTGTGCAATGACAAACTTTGACAGACTTAGCTCTTCTCAGCAATGCAAGGCTCTAAGACATCTCCAAAAGACTGATGATGCAAAATGCTATCCACATCCAGAGAAAGAACTATAAAGTCTGAATGCAGATCAAAGCATGCTATTTGCTCTTTTTTTCCTTCTGTTTTGTTTCTTCTTTCTTACGGTTTCTCCTATTGGTTCTAATTCTTCTTTACAACTAATGTGAAAATATGTTTAATAGGAACATATATGTAGAGTCTACGTCAGACTGCACACCATCTTGGGGAAGGAGAAAAATTTTAAATTCAAAAGCTTACGGAAGTGATTGTTGAAAACTAAAAATAAATTAATTAAAAAAGAAAAAAGAAAACACTCTCTACAAACCTCACTATTCTCAACCTCCTGGTTTTCAGGGCACAAAACGTCTTCCTCTGTTGTTTCATTCTCTTGCACTTGCTCCTCTGCACTGTCGTCCTCAGGCAGATCAGGGGCTTTTTTCTTCTGGGGTTCTATAAAAGTAAAAAAAAAACACCAAAAAACCAAAGCAAAACATTCCCCAGAAAGTAAACCTCAAGTATTAGCTATTTCCACCCCAGGTGCTTCGATCCAAGGATGGAGCCCAGAAATCTATCTTTCGATTCAACTGACACCTGAGGAAGCAAAGACAGGTAATAGTAAGAACCTCTACTCTCACTTCTGAACAACAGCAGCTTATGATGACACCAGGTTTCCTGGGCTCTGAAATAGAAAGCAAACACATTCTTCTCTTTAAGGGAAAGGCTAGAAATGCTTCTAAATGTCAATTTTCTCAAATAAACTAATCATTTTAAAATCTTATCTTGTTTTAAAATCAAGGCTTTTCCAAGAACAAGGGACCCCAAATCCTTTAACTATTGAGAAACACAGGAATACTGGGAGTTCTTCTTTTTAAAAAATGTAAATTCCTTTTAGTTTTCCTTATCTGTAAAGTGCTATGTTATCACCATCAAGAAATGAGGATCCAAATATTCTTGATAATATAAGATTAGAAACCAGAGACATATGTACGTTCCTTTGCTTTGACCTCCCAAGAGTTTGGTGGCTTCTTTTAGGCACAGTGATTGCCCAAGCAGCCTTTTAGGGCTTGAAGACATAAGCTTCTCCCTTAGAGGGCTCACCACAGATTTTCTATTGAAAGAGGAGGAAAGAGAAGGCTGGTTTGGCAATTTTTCCCTCGGGGAATTTAACCTCAACACACTAGTGCTGGCTACCACCTGTCTTGGGTGATGAGTTAAAGCAGTAGTAGTATTTAGTGTTTTTCTCATGAGGAAAGGATAGCTCGGAGGGCCAAGTGACTTAGCCAACGCCACAACACTCACAGGCAGAGAACCAACATCTGCCCATTCCAGAACCAGCGTTTTTCCACTATACCTCACGTCAAGCGGATAAACACACAGGGAGAGAAGTCTGATTTTCAGCCTCTCACAAGTCGACCTCCTGCTTCTCATTTATAGCCTTTTCCCTGCAGCCTTTCTTTCCCAGCCTGCCCCCTCGTGGAATGAGGAGGGAGTAGCAAGGTTGCCATCCAGCAGCACGGGGCCAAGGGGCAGCTGTTCTACCACTTCACAAACTCCACCAGTGAGGTAATGGCTCATGACTGGCTAAGCACTCGACTCTAAGGCACTGAGCAAAACCAACAAAGGCAACAAGGTTGAGTTGTTCAAGGACTTAAACATCTTGGAACTGACTCTACTCTCGCTGTCATTTTAGTGGCTTCCTTTGGGTGGAGTGCCTGATCAGCCCCTCTGGTGCTTGAGGCCAAATAGGAGTCTTGGGGGGGGGGGGAAGTGGGAAGATTAGCTACAAGGTAACCCTCCGGCAAAGCTGGCGGTCTGGCTCGCCTGAGGTCACAATGGTGGCACAAGTGGCAGAGCAGGATTCGAGTCCTGGTCTTTGGATTCTATTTCCACTCCTCCCTTCAACTACACTTTACCCTATACACTTGAAGTCATGATTATTTGCGTACAAACATATCTCATCCTCTTCTTCAATTACACTGTAAGTTCATCAAGGGAGGAATTCCTTTTACCCCTCTGCATCCCGATTATTCCCCGACACAAGTGCTCTGTGCACAGTGACTACTTAAAGAGCATCTGCTCGCTTTGGTTTTGGGGAGAAATCCTCAGAACGGGTGCAAAGGAACAGAAGTGGCCTGGGAAACTTGGCTTCCATACAATCAGAGCCCAAACAATTTTTCCCAGATGCCAAAAAAGAAAAACAAATGCCTTCTAAGGTATCCCAAACACGGATCCTTGGTGGAGGTGGCAAAATTAGGAAGAGTTTTCTTTCCACAGCTACATTTGTTAGTTGATACTGTCCAATAAAAGCGGTTATTACCACCGTCTGCAGGTTCTGCTTCTTCTGCTTTTCTCTTGGGCTTCTGAGAGGGGCTGGCAGGTTCATCCCCCTCCAGGTACTTTTGCTCCAGACCCTTCAGGTGCTTCAGGTACCGGTCCTTCATGGACTGCCAGGGATGCGGGGTGAGGGCCGCCCTCTCCATGGCCTTCCACAGGGCGACGCCCGCCAGGGCGCTCGGGGAGCGGGCATTGTCCTTCACGTAGCGGACATGGCCAGGTCCTCGGCCTCTGTGTAGGCCTCCTCGGCCGCCTCGGGGCTCTCGGGCTCCCTGCGGCCCAGGCGGTAGTCCTCCAAGTCCAGCCTCTCGTTGCGCTCCACGCAGTCCGTGATGTACTGCGTGGAGATGAAGTCCCCCGAGGCCTCGGCCTGCGCCTCCCCGGGCTGGGCCAGCAGCACGGCCTCAGGCTCCTGCACCCGGCACAGGGTGCCTCCGCCGTGCAGGATCAGCGTGGACAGCCGCCGCTTCGCCGGGCCCGGCCGCACATAGAACGAGATCGAGCTGCCGTCCTCACGGATGAACAGCGTCCGCGAGTGGGTCGGGTCGTTGGGGTCCTTGCCCATCTCTAGGCCCTCTGCCATGACCCGGCGGATCTTCGGAGAGGAGGCGGGGGAGCGAGCACGAGCACGCGCGATCCGCTCCAGGCCTAGTCCACCACCGGAGGCTAGAAGCACCCCTTTATGCGCCTGCGCTCACCCTTGACCCCACCAGCACCAAGGCCTCACGCCCTCAGACGCAGATCATGGAGCTCGCCAGTCCCCAGCCCCATCTACGCATGCGCTCGCCCAGCTCCTTTACCCCCGCCCAAGCCCGTGCGCGTGCCCGCTCACTCGGTTCATACAAAAAAGCCAGGCTCACCCCACCTACTATGCCCACTCCTAGCCCGCGAGCGAACAGCCTGGGCGCGCGCCTCGCCCCCCTCAGGACAGGCAGCAAAGGGAAGCTGAGGCACCGAGTGGGGCAGGGACAACCTGACGCGCAGAGCGGTCGACTCCCTTGGCGTGGTCCAGCTGGCCTCAAAAGAGACAGTAGCCTACCGTGCCCTACAGCCAGATGGATGGGCTCTGGATGGAAACCTCCACCCGGAAGTGGCGGGCTTGATGGGCGTGACCCGGAAGTGGCTCCCTGAGACGTCCTCCCTTTCCTGCCTGGCTCTCGGGGAAAGATGACTGCAGTGTGAAGAGCGGTGGTAACTGAAGGTAGCAACGGAACGAAACTGAGAACGAATTTAGGGGGCAAGCGCCGCTGACGGAGACGTTCGGGCTCGTAGGTCCATAGGGACTGGGACTTGGAGCCGCTCGGGCTTGGGGTCATTCTGCCCGCGCTGACGCGCTGCGGAGAAGCCACCTTTCGCCTCCGGAAACTACAAATCCCGTGACGCACTGGGCTCGTCTGGAATTCACTCTTGGGGTTCCGCTGTCTGGGGCAGCCCCTCCTAACGCCTGGTCTCTTCCTGTGTTCGTTCAGCTTATGGTGGGAGGGGAGAAAAGACCTCGGGAAAAGTGAAATACTCTCTTTTGTTATTGAACTCTGACACTTTAAAAAGTTTAGAGGAGACCCAAGTGAGTCCTAGACTCCACTAAATAGGGGTTTGGATCTTCATAGATGGAGTCATTGCTGTCCCGAGGATCCGGGCAGGATTTCCCTTTTAACAGCAGGTTAAATTCCATTTTTCACAAAACAGCCCTCAGAAGAGAATTGTAAATGAGTTTGGAACCTCTGTCCAGCCATTCCATAATTTATGCCAGCCTCCCTAATATTGGCATTTCTGAGTTGTAAATGTAAAGACAGTCTATTTTTCACTCATCAGCCACTAATTTTTCTTTTGCTTAAGTATTAATTTGATGAATAGGTATCATAGGGAGAGAAGGTACTTGTTGCTCTCCAGACAAATGTTCAAGCTTAGGCATATCCATTGAGTTTGTGTGCAGCACCTTGGCCGACTATTCTTTACTAAATTAGAAAACTTTTGTGTGAATTGGGTCAACGGTATTTTTTTTATATATCCTGTTGTCTTTAATCACCAAACGGATTCAGTAACCTAGTGTTGAGGTAGAAGCAGTAATTGCCTACTGGTAAGAAATAAGGGCTTGGAGTCGAAAGAGAGTCGGTTTTATCCTGCATCCAGAGGCAACAGGCAATATTTCTTGAAATATTTACTTGAGCATCTCATTGTAATGCTCATAAGCACTTGGCAAAAAACCTCCTGCTGCCTTGAAGATAAAAAAAAATATGCAGCTTGTGCGCCTGCATCTGTTGCTGAGGATAAGGATGTAGAGAAATTCCATGGAGAACTCAAGATCCTGGAAATTAAATCAGTGTACCTTAATACTCCATTATTTCAATGAAAGATAGGCCTAGGATGAACTGACATTGCAGATGTACAATGAACTAGGTCTAGAACTGAATAGGAGGAAGAAAGTGGGCTGGATTACCTTTGGGGAATTGTGCAGTGCTTTTAAAACCCTTGCTCTTTAGAATCTTATTCGTAATTATATCAAGATCAAAGAAATAAAAACCATTACTTATATTGAAGAAAAATGAGAAAGGAAAACTCTAAACTCTTTTCTGATGAAGCCTTTTGGGCATTCTCATTGCTCTGAATCTTTAGAAAATCAGTAGGGACATGGCTTAGAGCCTTAACATAGTGGAACTGAGCCAGCTATATGTGATGCCTTATGAATACATATGGGGCACCTCACGCTGCAAGTTAAGGTTACAAATAATTTTGGTTTAGGGCTGAAGAGATATTAGGGTGAGGTTGAGGTTATGGTAAAAGTTGAACTAGGGAAAACCTAATTCATCTCCTGAATTCATTCATATTCCTAATGGTTTCAGATATTTATGTTTTATATTCATCTAGTGGCATAATTTAGAATTTAATTTAATTTTTAGATGTGGTCAGATGCCTTGGGGACGAGGAATGCATCAAAATAGCTTGATTATAGTATATGTCAATTTGTAAAGTGAGTGAGAGGTCATCTTAAAATGTCAGAATAAAACAGACACTGACTTTGAGGTGAGAAAACCTTGGGTTGAGTCTCAGTTCATCTCATCAAACTCTGCCATTTAAGTAGTTGTATGACCTTAAACCAGTAAACCTCTTGACTTCAGTTTACTTGTATGTAAAATGAGGTATTTTAATTAGATCTGACTTTCTCTGATTTAGTCTCATATTCTTGTACAACCTCAGAACCTCCAGACTGAGTATTAGTATATGGTGGCAGTTGTCTCTCATGATTTGTCTCTTCACAGAGAAACTTACAGATTACAACATAGTTTTCATCTATTTCTCAAAACCACTCTTAACTCCCTTATATAACATTGAACAAGTACCAGCTGTATGTCAGGTATTGTCCAGAACATCAAAAAGATTCATGCCCATTTGGCTCATGGGCAAACCTAGACACTGAGCTTTGTTGCTTCTCACTATGAGAGCTTCCTTTTCCATATAAATAATATTAATCCAAACCATCCTTAGTTATTTTCTAAAATTTTCTTTTCCTTTTTCCTGGGAGAGAAGTTGGCCAATTTCTAAGGCTTAGTTTTGGCCTTGGCTGTGGTCCATGGAGTGAAATTCATAGTAAAATTTTCATTCCCCTTTCTCCCAGAGATTTGAAATAAGGAGAGAACATGGCAGTAATGAGACTTCATGAACTACTGTCATATCCCAAGTGGGTTTTTCCCCCACAGTGTGCTGGAGGAAGACAGTTTCCTGAATTTTCTTATCCTCAGTTTGTTATTGAACTATAACTTTATTGAAACTTGGCCACAAATGGGCCTCCCCTCAGAAGTCTAGGACTGAAAACTCCTTTGTCAGTCACAGAATTGTTGTGGTACAAGAGGCAACAAGAGTCTCCTTAGGCCAGAAAGGGACTTTCTGTTTATGCATTGACCAAGTGCCCATTCTGACTCAGCATGTCTGTGTTTCCCTTTAGGTGGCAGTAACCATTAGTCCTAGGGTGTTCTGCCATGTTGAAGCAAGCTGTGGTTAAGCTTATTCGGGGGCCTTTGCACCAAGCCTGCTGGACAAAGTGGGGTCGGCGGGAACTTCGGCTGGATCATCTCCTACCTGTCACCCCGCTTCACAAGGACAGTGCTCTTTCTGATAAAAGGAGGTTGGTGTGGCTGTTACCTTCTCTATTGTGATATGAACAAAACTGATCTTCTTTTCTGATTCAGAGAGCTCTAAGCTGTCTGTAGGCCCATTGCCATAGAAAAAAGAAGTCTTGTTAGCAATACCAGGAGCTAGTTCTATTCTACTGCTTAAGGAATTCAAACTCCCTTTCCTCCCAGGCCCCAAATTAGCTGTTTGGGAATCGCGAAGGTTTTGTTTTGGGGGTGACCCTGAGATCATTATCGCCCCTAGAAGGAGCAGTATTTGCAGTGATTGTGGCTTTTCCTTTCCTGAGCGGTTACTTAGGAATTTCTTATTCTTAATGCTTAGGCATTTTGTTTCTAACCCTATTGCCAAACCATTAGGGAAGTCGTTGGTAGTATCTTGATGTGGTTTTAAAGAGAAATATATAGAAAAAACAAATTGCCTTCATAACCAGCAGAAAAGTAGTGAATCCCCAAATTGTCGTTATCTGAAATAGCAATTGAGGAAATTGCTGATGTGGTACAGCCAGTAATTGATAGGAAGACACATAGACTTGGAATCAGAACACTCAGAAAACCTGAAATCAATGACTTTCTCTGCCGTGTATTTATCAGTAGTGTAACCTCAGGCAAGTCACTTTACTTCTTAGCCTCTCTGTAAAATGAAGGGATTATGCTGGACTATTTCTAATATTACCTCTAGCTTTAACATTCTGTGGTTCTCTGAATCAGGCTACTTTGCTTAAAAGGAGTATGCTTCACGTGCCTAAATAAATGTTCTCTGGTAGATTAGGTCAGGATGATATGATGAATATAGATTCAATCATTGGGCCCTCAAATTTTAACAATCCAAGCCTGAATTGATATGTTTTCTTATAGTTTAAGGCTAAAATTGTCTTCAAAATAAGGACCTCATTCTCTGTGATTTTGAAAGCAAGATGAATTCGCCATACTGTCTGCATTCCCCTGCAGACAGTATAGAACTTAGGGTAATTACCCTGTTTAGAAATTGTCTAGTTTTCTTGTACAACCGGTTTCTCTTAATAAATAGAACTTCCTTTCTGGGAATGCAGAGGTAAAGGACCTACAGAGGCAATCTTGACTTGAAAATATTTGAGGATTGATCACTAGAGAAACAAATTTTTTAAAAAAATTTTGGACTTCATACTCAGCCTTAGAGTCTCCTTTTACCTTGCTTTCTTGATAGGTTTTGGCTGAGTACTAAAAACTAAGTAGTCTTTTCCAAATGGTTTTGGTTTTTTTTAACCCACTGATTGTTTGGTCTGTGCCCTCTGCAGTTAAGTGACTGAATTGTTAAGTGATATCTTTTCTAATGGAAAACTGCTAGGCTTAGAGTGCCTTGGGAAGTAGATGTATAAGATACTCAGTGCTTGCTTCTCCCAGGCAGCTGCCACAGTGAATTCTGTTATCACCTTTACACAGTGAGCTGAAGAGACATTTGAAGGATGAGGAGAAGCTCAGTGAGAAGCAGCTGAGTCAAGCCCCTGCCACCAATCACTCTGTTGACCATGGTGTGCCCACTGACGAAGAGATCCTGGATCCACATGTGAGTTTCCTATGCCTCAGCTCACCAGTGTTAGAGCTGGCCACCACTCTGACTCCACTCAGCCATACAAGTCAAGGTAGAAGACAGAATATATTCTTTTAATCTCTTCTGAGAAGTCCTGGGAGAGAGCGACTCAGAGAAATAAGCAGGGCAAGAGCTTTTTGACTTGTCACTGGTCCCTTGAGATGTTGTTAAGCCTATTGATTAATTGAATGAATGAATGAATATTTATTAAGCAATATGTGCCAAGCACTGCGCTAAAATAAAATGTGAACAGTGGTGATGTCATTGATTTTATTGGAAAGAAGGGGCAAATTGCAGTGTTAGAGTGTGTGTGTGTGTGTGCTGTAGAAATTAACCAACAGAAATGATGTTCCAGAATATTTTTGTTAAATCACACAAACTGAGCTTCATGTGAATAAACAACTCTGTTCCCCTCTAAAATGATGAGTTTTCTCCAGTATGGACATTTTTTCTCTCATCCTACATATTGAGAAACAAGGTCTATAAATAAACCAAGACACATGAATTTTTCAGAGTGGGAGCCAGTGATTTGTAAATCTTTTTACATGATTGGTAGAAGATCTCAAGACGAAAAAATGAAAGTGACTGGCAGTGTACATACAGGACAGAGAGCAGAAGGTTAAGAAGGGGAAAAGCAAAAGCTGAAGAGCAGGTTAAGGCTGTATCTGTTTTAGAATTGAAACAGTGACCCTCAGATCTGAAAAGGATGCCCAAAGCAATCTACTGGAGAAGAAAGTTGAGAATTGCTGATCTTAATAATGTATTCTTTGAAACAATTTGGAACTGTGCCCAAAGGGCTATAAAAGTGTGCCATCCTCTTTGATTCAGCAATACCACTGTGAGGTCTATATCTCAAAGAGATTAAAAAAAAAAGGGAAAAGAACCTATTTGTACAAAATATTTATAGCAGCTCTATTTGTGGTGGCTAAGAATTGGACATTGAGGGGATGCCCATCAGTTGGGGAATGGCTGAACAAGTTTTGGTATATGATCGTGATGGAGTATTATGCTATAAGAAATGATGAGCAGGATGATTTCAGAAAAACTTGGAAAGACTTAGATGAACTGATGCCAAGTGAAGTGAGTAGAACCAGGAGAACATTGTACCCAGTAACAGCAATGTTGTATGATGAAGAACTATAAGTGACTTAGCTCTTCTCAGCAGCACAGTGATCCAAGACAATTCCGAAGGACTCATGATGAAGCGTGCTATCCACTTGCAGAGATAGAACTAATATTGTCTGGATTTTTTCCTTCCCATCTTCCTTTCTTTCTTTCTTCTTTCCTTCTTTTCTTTCTTTCCAGTCTGGTACAAAATGACTAACACACAAATGTTTTACGTGATTGCGCATGTATAACCTATATTGCATTGCTTACTATCTCATGGGGGTGGGGGAGGGTTAGAATTTGAAACTCAAAACTTTTCAAAAAATGTTTACAAATCGTTTTAACATGTAATTGGGTAAAAAAAAACCACCTTAAAAAAACAACGACAATGCGTTCTTTGCTGGACTCAGGGTAAAGCAGAGAGAGACCATAAATACCTCTTAGAATAGAAACAACCTCAGGGCACAGGCTGCCTCACTCTTGTAATTGATGTCCCCAGTATCTGGTATGTAGTAGAAGCTTAGCTAGTGTTCATTGATCGATCACTCCCAATATGGACTTCGTCGGAGCTGGGTTCCCTTGAGTGGGGACAATTTTTGTCCTTAGTTCAGGCCTTCGTCACGTTCCATCTGGATTGTTGTGATGGTTCGATTGATCTTCCAGCTTCTAGTCTCTTCTCGAGCCAGTCCATCATCCCATCTGCCACGTTATTCCTAAAACAGTCTGTCCACAAGCACTTATTATGTGCCGATTCCTGGGCATAGAGATTCAAAAGTAAGACAGTCTCTGTATTCAAGGAGCCCTCTGTCTACTAGGAAGCTATGACGTGTTCACAGAGGAATAAATCGTGGATAAATGTGAAATTTTTGTGCACTTGGCAGGGGTTTCAGAGCACTAAAATTGAGGGAATCAGGGAAGACCTTTTGGAGGAGGTAGCATTTCAGCTGAGGCTTGAGGAGAGCTCAGGGTTCCATGAGGCAGAGAGAAGAGGGGAGAGAACACGGTCTCTGCAGAGGTGTGGAGGCTGGAGGCAGAAGGCCTGGAGTGGTCGAAGCTGTCTGGAACGTCAAGTGTGTGGGCAGGGGGAGGAGCTGCCCAGAAAGATGGCTCAGACCTGACTGTGAGAGGCTTCTGGTGCCACATAGAGCAATTTATGTTTTCTCCTAAAGGCATTGTCCATGTCACCCCCTTTATTAAGATACCTCTGGGGGTCCTCTTGCCTCTAGATAAAATACAAAATCCTCAGTCTGGCATTTAAAGCCCTTTGAAACCTGGCTCCTACCAACCTTTCCAGTGTTATACCATGTCAGACCCCTTCGTGTTGTTTTACCTGTAGGTAACATTTCATCTTCTGCCTTGGATATGTTTTATCACAGCAATATTACAAGATCCGCAGCCAGGCGATCCAGCAGCTGAAGATCAATGGAGAGGACCCCTACCCACACAAGTTCCACGTAGACACCTCACTCACCCGCTTTATCAAGCAGTACAGTTATTTGCAACCAGGGGACCATCTGACTGATGTCACCTTGAGAGTGGCAGGTACGTAATCCTCTCCCGTCCGCTAACAGTATGCATTGAACTCACATTGTGGAGGCAGCTGGTTGCAGAGTGCACAGACTGCTGGGCCTAGATAAAACACTTAGCACAGGGCCTGGCATATAGTAGGCTCCATATACAGATCTGTTCCCTTCTTCCCATTATAAAGTCTGCTGTGACCCGGTGTAATGGACACAATAGAGAATTAAAGAGTCCCTTACAGTCTGAAGGCTGATTTGGGGAAAGAAAGCAAGCTGTCTGTAGGAACATCCCTCCTCTTCCTCTTCATAGATGAAGGTTAGGCAATCCTAAGGTATCAGATATGGTAAGAGGAGAAGTGAAAAAAAGTCTATGAAAGAGATCTAAATCCAGGGAAAGGAGCATTGTCTGCAGCACAGTCCTTGCCTAACGTATGCTGGTGGTGCTGACCCTGGTTTGAGAAATTATGCTCATTAGTTAGACAGTGGTCGTCCATACCCTTAAGACTGGGGCATCTCCTGAACGGCTTTAGGTTATGGTGAGTGGGACTGATCAGTTGGGGCCTCGGACTGAGGTCACTGCTTCCAGGTAAGGGCAGCTGATGCCCTCCTGAGCATGACGGAGAATGTTTCTCTGGGACCTCAGATGGAGAAAATGTTCCCCTCTGTGCCTTCCTCAGCAGAGGGCGGGAACCCTTGGCATCAAGGTCACAGGGAAGGGCGGTACTGAGGTAGCGGGGCTTTCGGGGCTTTTGCTACTTACAGGTCGTATCCATGCAAAACGGTCTGCAGGGAAAAAGCTCATCTTTTATGATATTCGAGGAGAGGGAGTCAAGCTGCAGGTCAAGGCCACGTCCAGGTATGTCAAGCTGCCAGCCCACCACGTGGAAGGGTTGGAGCTGCCCTTGGTTTTATTTTCCCAACCATGTTCTCTAAAACGATGCTTAGGTAGAGTTGGACGGGGTTGAGCAGAGGTGAGTGGAGGTGAGCAGAGCTCAGGTCATTCAGTTAACTAGAGTTTATTGGATGCATGGATGGAGAGATCAGTAAACAGTAGAGGGAAAAGTCCTGCCCTCGGTTGGTTTGTAATAATTATGGCTAGCATTTATATAGGGTTTTACATTTTATAAAGCGCTTTGCAAAAGATGCTACAAAGAATCACCTTCGACGTTGGTTTAGGATATTAGTGAGGGAGCTAGGATGAGAGCACAGGTCAGCATGAACTTGGGCTACTGTGTACTGAATTGAACGTCCCTTCCCCTCAGGAATTATAAATCAGAAGAAGAATTTTTTCATGTAAATAACAAACTTCGACGGGGAGACATTATTGGGGTTCAGGGCAATCCAGGGAAGACCAAGAAGGGAGAGCTGAGCATCATTCCCCAGGAGATTACACTCCTGTCACCGTGTCTTCACATGTTGCCTCACCTTCATTATGGCCTCAAAGACAAGGTGAGCTCCCGGCGCCTCCTCCCTCTGAATCCAGCCCTTTTCAGGCTTATTTTGTTCTTTTACCGCCTCTCAGTTTTCAGTTTCTTAGGCCTTCAGTCTCACCTCTGCATTGTATATATCAAGATGTGATGGCTTACTAACTACTGTTTGTTTCTTGAAGGAAACACGTTATCGCCAGCGATACTTAGACTTGATCCTGAATAACTTTGTGAGACAGAAGTTCATCACCCGCTCCAAGATTATTACCTACATAAGGAGCTTCCTAGATGAGTTGGGCTTCCTGGAGGTAAGGAAGGAGTCTTTCTAACATTTGTTCAGACATTGCTAACGTGTGTGTTCCCCGCTGTTCCCTGCTGCATCCTGAGGATTGCTCCATGTCAGTAGCCTCCAGTTCCTGCTGAGGTAGTACCTTCTCTGCCACTCTCCTAGTTCCAGCATGTTTCCATAATTGCCCAAGCACTAGGACAGGACCTGACTTTGCAGAGTGGCATTCACACAGGGAGCAAGGATGCTCGCTTGAGGAGGGGACTGGCTTGACTTTCTCATGAATTAGGCGGACCTGGGCTACAAGATTAGTGGCAAAAGAGCCAAAATTTTATGAGAAACACTTCTATGCGGTCCATGATGCTTATTTCCTAACTCAGGAAATGATGAGCTTAGAACGAATAAAAAACGTCACATGCCTGTGCTCTCCTTTGTACTGTGGTCAAGTTTCTCTTTCTCTTTCTAGATTGAAACTCCTATGATGAACTTCATTCCAGGAGGAGCAGTGGCCAAGCCCTTTGTCACCTACCACAACGAGCTGGACATGAACTTGTTTATGAGAATTGCCCCAGAGCTCTATCACAAGGTCAGAAAACCATAGCCCCTCTTCCTTAGTGAAAGAGCCAGTGGGTCATAGGCAGGTCGGTGAAGAAATCAGCTTGACCATAGTGGGCTGGAGCCTTGCACATAGCTCCTGGAGCTGTATTTCCATCGCTTCTGTCTCCTGAACTTACTCTCGAATCACTAAGTGCCTCGTGGATATTTCAAATGGCTGTCTCTTGTGCATCTCAACTTAACACATCTAGAGTAGAATTCATTATCTTTCATCCTAAGCCCACCCCTCTCCCAAAGTCTCTGTTGCTGGTGAGGGTTTCACTGTCATTCCAGGCTCACAAGTTTGTTACTTTAAAGATATCCTCAACTCTTCGTTCTCCTTCACCTCAGAATCCAGTCATTGTCAAGGCTTGTCAGTTCTTCACCAAATCTCACTCTTATCTGTGCACCTCTCTAGTTACACAGCCTACGCCCTGGGTTGGGCCTTCCTGGCCTTCTCATGGATCTTTCTGCCTGAAATCTCTCCTTTCTAATCCATCTTCCCCACACTTAACCAAGTGAGAATTCTTAAATACATGTCTGACCATGTCACTCCTCCATTCAGAAAACTCTAGTGGCGCTGTATTGCCCCTAGGATAAAAGAAAAACTCCTCTTTGGGGCTGTTAAAATCCTTTACCATCTGGCTCCAGCCTCTGTTTCCAGGCTCATGACACATGATTCCCCTTCACCCATTCTTCAGTTCTAGATCAGCTGGCTGACTTAGAGGTCGTTGTCCAGCATGTTCCATCTCTTGCCTTTACATAGGCCCAGAATCCTCTCCTCCTCACCTGCTGCCTTCCCCCACCACCCTGATTACTTGGTACACATTTTGTATTTAGATGTATTCATGGTGTTTTATTTGACAGAATGTAAGTCCCTTGAGAACAGGGCCTGTTTAGTTTCTTTCTTGGTGTCCTGAGCACCTGGTACTGTGCCTGCCACATAGCAGGTTGTTGATTGTTTTATTGATTGAATAGAAAATGAGAGTGAGGACAAGAAAGTGAGGTCCAGAGGAAGGAGAAAGAGATGTATCTCCTTTTAGGATTTTTCCTTAAGATCTGGTTGTTGCTTCTTTTTCTAAGTTGTTGACAGCTTAGTTCCTTCTGTCCAATCTACGTGGGACACCAAATGGGCTAGTATACACGTTTGCTGCTATATCTTTTCCCTTACATTAGAGCTTATTTTAGGTTTTTTGTGCAAAGGGTTTGTGTATACCTGTGTATTTTGTCATCTTAGGTAATATCTCTAAACAACCATACATTTTTAGGGAGAAGAATGATATGTATCAGTCAGTAAGTACTGACTGTGCCCACAGTATGCCCAGTAGTCTATTAGATGTTTAAAACGTAGAGACTTCTCTGTATCCATAAACTATAATCCTGGTCTATAAAAAACTCATGGTTATCCTGAGCTTTGTAAGCAAGTGTGGGCTTGTGCAAGGAAGATCTTTAATAATTATTGAAAATTTCAACTTCTGTTGAAAACAAGATTTGAAATATTTAAAGAAAATAAGAAAACCCAGCATAAAGAAAACCAAAAGTGATTGTACCCTTAGCCATAAATTTTTGTGAATTGCCAATTGTTTTTTAAAGATGTCTGTTGACTTTAACACAATACTAATAAAATTGTGCTGTTTCTGTTCCCCCTTGTGAGTCAATCTCCCTCCCTCCCCACCCCTCTTTTGCTCTTATTGTCTTTTTTGACATAATTTTTGTGTAAATTTTTTGGTTCTCTTTTTTTTTCACTCTGCATCTTTTCACATAAATCTTGCCATTTAAAAAAAACCTCTTCATCATTTTCATTTTATATGGTGCAGCAACATAGCACTGTTCCATCGTGTTCATACATCACAAGGTAATGAGAGCCCGAATGAGTGTGATGGCTATGTAATTAGAGAGAAGTAGGGAGATATGAAGGATATGCTGGAGGTAAAACTGACAAGACTTAGCAACTACTGAGATATGGGGATTAAGAGAGAAGGAAAAGTCAGGTCTTTCACAAATAATAGGGCACATCATTTTAATTTTGTTTTTTTTTCCCCATATTTCTTGCTTTCACAAATAGCAAAATATTTTTGTAACCTCCTGGGGGTATAATTCCAGTAGTGGGGTAACTGGATGAATAGGTATAAATATTTTTGTAATTCAGTTGTATGATTCTATATTGCCTTCCCAAAACGTTGACCAAGTCATTTCCACCAAAATTGTATAAGCATGCATGGTTTTTCCTCGTACCGTACAACTATTGTGTATTATCATCTTTTATTATCTTCCGCAAGTTGAGGGATATAAGGTAATCACTCAAGAGTTGTTTTAATTTGCATTTCTTAGACAGTTATATATTTTGAACCCTTTTTCATATGGTCATTGATAATTATTCTATTGACAGTTCCCTGGCAGAATTTTTACAGGTCCACTTAACCAAGCCTTGCCATGTATGACTTGTTTTCTTTGTACTTAGATGCTGGTGGTTGGTGGCATTGACCGGGTTTATGAAATTGGACGTCAGTTCAGGAATGAAGGAATTGATTTGACTCACAATCCTGAATTCACAACCTGTGAGTTCTACATGGCATATGCAGACTACCATGATCTCATGGAGATCACTGAGAAGATGATTTCAGGTAACCTATCCACCATGCCTTTGACAGGCGCTGTCAAGGACTTATACTCCATGTCAGGGGGAAGGGCTATGTGGGATCGTGGTAGATCTTCTTTAAGAAGTGGGTTTCTCTCTCAGGAATGGTGAAGAACATTACAGGAAGTTACAAGGTCACCTATCACCCAGATGGCCCAGAGGGCCAGGCCTGTGATATTGACTTCACACCACCCTTCCAGAGAATCAGCATGGTGGAAGAGCTTGAGAAAGCTCTTGGCCTGAAGCTTCCTGAGACCAGTCTTTTTGAAACAGAAGGTAAAGACAATTCTCCAGTTTCTTTCTCCTTGACCTTAACCATTGGATCAGAAACTTTAATTTTTTATAACTTAACTTTTATATAATGCTTTTAAGGTTTACAAAACCCTGTAGCTCTGCCATAGTTCTTTACACAATTCCTCTCCCAGCAACTTGGGAGCTCTCCCCTAATTTTGTGTGTTTGCATAACAGAAACTCGTAAGGTTCTTGATGACATCTGTGTGGAGAGAGGTGTGGAGTGTCCCGCTCCCCGAACTACAGCCAGGCTTCTTGACAAGGTAAGTGATCATGGCCTTGGGGTTCTGGTCCCTCTCATCCAGGGATGGATGGCGCCTTCTAGTCCCTGTGAAGACGGCAGCCCACAGTGAGGAGAATCCAGCTCAAACATCTTCAGAGGAGTCAGGCTCCATAGCTAGGAAAGGGATGAGCCAGATGTTCAGAAGCAGATTGTGGCCTTCCTTTGGGTGGGGACTTGGGATTGGGACTAGGAAAGCATTATTCAGACTTGTTCTCCAGCAGTGTGTCCTTTATTGTTCAGCTTGTAGGTGAGTTCCTGGAAGTGACCTGCATCAACCCCACCTTCATCTGTGACCACCCACAGATAATGAGCCCACTGGCCAAGTGGTAAGATACAGCATGGCTCCCCAGGAGAGGATTAGGGCATTAACAAATTCAGGTCAACAAATATTTATTATAAGTGCTTTCAACATATGAGGCCCTGTGCTAGGAACAGGGGATACAGAGACAAAAAACAAATAGCCCCTGCCTTTCAGGAGCTTAACACTTCACTAGGAGGATGCAGAGGGCAAGAGGGAAGCATTATTCCATGCTAGGTACTGTGCTAAGTTCTTTACAAATGTCATCTCATCTAATCCTCACAACAACTCTGCACAATACCACGTGTACACAAAATGTGGAACTATAAAGAATTCCATGAAAACGAGTGCAGATAACTGGGGGATCGGCTGAAGCCTCATATTGGAGGCAACACATAAGCTCTGCTTTGAAGCAAGTGAGGAACACTGCGTGGTGGAGTTAAAGAGGGGGAATGTTTTAGGCGTGCAACCGCATAGAAGGTTGAGGAGAGGGAGGCTATTGTAGGCATGGCAACAGTTAAGAGCACTTTGAAACAGGGACTTAATGAAGGAGAATCATCGAAATCAGACTGGAGAAGTATATAGGAGCCAGATTTTGAAACACTTTTATTTTTTTAATGTATTTATTTATTAATTTTTAGTTTTCAACGTTTGCTTTTGTAAGATTTTGAGTTCTAAATTTCCCCTCCCCAGGACGGCATGCAATCTGGTATAGCCTCTACATGTATGATCATATTAAACATATTTCCACATTAGTCATGCTGTGAAACAAGAATCAGAGCAAAAGGGAAAAACCATGAGAAAGAAAAAACAAAAAACAACAAAAGAAAGAGAAAATAGTAGGCTTTGATCTGCATTCAGACTCCATAGTTCTTTCTCTGGATGTGGATAGCATTTTCCATTATGAGTCCTTTGGAATTGTTTTAGATCATTGCATTGCTCAGAAAAGCTATGTCTGACAAAGTCAGTCATCACACAGTGTTGCTATGACTGTGTTCAGTGTTCTCCTGGTTCTGCTCACTTCACTCAGCAAGTCTTTCATGCAAGTCTTTCTAGGTTTTTCTGAAGTCTGCCTGCTCATCATTTCTTTTTCTTTCTTTCTTTTTTTTTTTTTTTTTTTTTTTTTTTTTTTTTTTTTTTTTTTTTTTTTTTTCTTCTTTCTTTCTTTCTTTCTTTCTTTCTTTTTTTTTTTGGTGAGGCAATTAGGGTTAAGTGACTTGCCCAGGATCACACAGCTAGTAAGTATTAAATGTCTGAGGCTGGATTTGAATTGAGGTCCTCCTGACTCCAAGGCCAGAGCTCTATTCACTGCGCCACTTAGCAGCCCCAGCTCATCATTTCTTATAGAACAATAGTATTCCATTACATTCATATATCACAACTTGTTCAGCCATTCCCCAGTAAGTGGGCATCCCCTCAATTTCAAATGCTTGGCTGCCACAGAAAGAGCTGCTATAAATATTTTTGTACATGTGGGTCCTTTCCCCTTTTTTGTGATCTTTCTGAGATAGAGGAAGAGAGAGAGCCATAGTCATCTCTAGACTGGCACAGGTGTCCATCATGACTCCTTTGCTATTCTCAGTGCCTAGAGGCTGAGGCCTAAAGTATGTCACGTGTCTGCATTCTTTGTTGTGGATTTTCTGTGGGGTTTGGTACCACATCTCTCTGTGCATTTATACTTTGCTTTGTGACTGCCAAAGCCTACATATCAGCTGAAGTTGAGCAGTTATACCAGTTGCTGAATTACTGATGGACTAAAACTTCAATTCTCCTTTCTGTATTGGACCCCTTCATGAGGCAGTGGAAAGAGGCCATTGATTGTGACCTGTGTGGGCAAGTCATTTCTGTGGTCTCATTTTCCTTATTTGTAAAATGAAAGGGCTGAGCTAGGTCCAGTTGCCAGGCCAACAAGAAGCCTCATTTCCAAGCCCACCACTGTCCTTTGGTTTCCATTGTCCAGGCATCGCTCCAAGAACGGCCTTACTGAGCGCTTTGAGCTCTTCGTGATGAAGAAGGAAATATGCAACGCCTACACCGAGCTGAATGACCCTGTGCGGCAGCGGCAGCTTTTCGAAGAGCAGGCCAAGGTAGGGATGAGTGAGCACGAGCAACAGAACCTCATCAGTTATTCCACAGAATCTAGGCCCTCACACATTTCAGATTATTGCCTGCTTCCCTTTGTAACTCAGTAGGAAGCTAAGCAAATAGCTGTGGCTCTATTCTAAGGGAAAACACATGGAAATAAAGACTTTGACAGAGAGACCATTAGCAGCAAGGGGGCATCGTGATCTGTGCCTTCTCTTGAAGAAGTCCTGCTCAATCCCAGCCTCTCTACATTGTAGGCACAGAGAAATGTATGTTTGTCCAGAAATGAATTTCTTCCATGCATAAAATGTCTAGAAATGATAGGAAAACCTTGTTCCATAATACAGTCTGGTTGTTGGTAGCTCCCTAGGGATGGGCACTAAAATTTTAGTGTATCCAGCTCAGCATTGCAGGCTCACCCTTTTTTTCTCTCATCTAGGCCAAAGCTGCAGGTGATGATGAGGCCATGATTATGGATGACAGTTTCTGCACTGCCCTGGAGTATGGGCTTCCACCAACAGCTGGCTGGGGGATGGGCATTGACAGACTCACTATGCTTCTTACAGACTCTAATAATATTAAGGTAAATAGCTGACTCTACCCATCTCGTGCTAGAGAGCTTATGTTCTGAAAAGGACACATTTTCTGTGGCTTTTTCCCCTCCTAACTTGAGTTCTCTATTCTGCTTCTCCTGTTATGAAGAAACAGAAAAGAAGTCTGTCCTTTCCATCTATTTTGTGAAAATTTCTGATCTGAGATAGTGCTAATGTCTTAGAGTTAACAGCTAGTGGCAAAGGAAACTGGGCTATTTCTGTTCTCTGTCAAGGTGTGTGCTCTGCGCACTTCCCTGGGAAGTCCTTTAGTTCCAGCCATCTGCTGAGGAAGAGAAAAATGTTAAGGTGGGATAGTGGCAGGAGAAGAATTTACACGCAGCTTCCTAAGCATAGCACATATTTCTCCCTTCTAGGAGGTTCTTCTCTTTCCTGCCATGAAACCAGAAAACAAGGAGAATCCAGCAAACACTGGTTTAACAGAAGGCCCGTCAATTGTTACCTTCTGCTAGAGGGTAACCCATGTGACTTGACCATCTTTTCTGACCTTGGAAAGAAAATTCAGGGCCAGAAGGGACCACATAGAGTCCACTCACCAAAGATGTATTAAGTACATAGGACTTACCAGAATTGTGCTGGGTACTAGGGGCTACGAGGACAAGAATGCAGCCGACCCTTTCCTCACAGAGAAGCTCCAGGGTCCCACCACTCTCTAGTTTGAGATGTTACTGAAATGAGGAGGCACCCCCCAAGAATGGCTTTCTGCATCTCGTCCCTCAATAAATCCTGTCAGTCTTTTGCTGCTCACCTTCATTTCCCCCAACCTTGGAACGCCTCTGTTCCAAGTGCTTATATAGGCACAGCTGCTTTCTCAGGCTCGTGCAGGACTTGGTGCTGGCAGTGAACAGAAAGTGGTCCTTTTTCTGTAAAGAGCCACAACTGAGAGCGAAATGCTTCCTTTTCAAGATTCAAGAAAGCAGAAAACATCCCACAGGCGGTGTGGCATGGTGGGGGAATGATGGTATTTGGACCCTGGTTGTGGATGCCCAATCTGTTCCTTACAGTGGGGCAGCTTGAGGTAAGTAACTCTACTCTCTGGGCCTCGTGGGTCCTCAGATGAGAAATGATTGAATTGTCCTTAAGCATTCATTCCAGTTCCGTCCAGTTCATTAGAGCAAGAAGTTCTTGAATGGCTATTTCATGCTCTTTGCTAAGTACTGGGATGGTGCAGAAGTTCTTAAGTTCTCTGGGATGAAGGATGTTAGTTTCAGAAGAAAAACATGCCATCTGAAACGGCTGAGATTTGAAATAGTTGGGGACGTGGCTTAATGGGCAGATCACTGACCTTAGAATCAGAAAGACCCTAATTTGAATCCTGCCTTAGACACTCACTAGCTGTGGGACCCCAGGCAAGTTACCTATCCTCTCTGATTCTACTTTCCATTTATGTAAATGGAGATAATAATAGCATCTCCCTCACAGAGTTGTTGTAAGGATCATCTATAATAACATAGTTAAAGTGCTTTATAAACTTTAAAATGCCATATACATGTTAGATGTTGTTATTTGTAGGAAGAAGAATATAGCCTTAAATACAAAAATAAATTCTGCCTTTGTATAAAAGATTATGAAAACACCTGTGCTTTCTAGAGTGAAGGATATTTCCTTTAAAATACATGGGTAACAGATATAACCTAGACATAGAAGAAAGTTACGGTTTCGGAATGAAGAATATAGCACTAGATGTACAGGAATCCAAGAAAAAAGGCAATCTGGTGTCTTTAGAAGAGGAGAACATCCCCAAAGTAAATGTGCTTAAGATTTAAAAAAAAAAACCTCCCAGTAAATATTGCATGAAGCCTATAGGGGACGCTAGATTATGCAATCTGGAAGCCGAGCCGGTCACTGAAAACACCAAATAGGAAGCTCCTCAGTGTCAAGTCCTATCTGTGTATGAACTTTAGAAACTGAAAGAGCCCGAGGAAGCTGCTTTCCTGGCCGCTAGGGCACGACTTAGGCCCGGCTGATATCCTTGTCTGTAAGGCCAGACCAGCTCTTGGGACACAAGCTGCCCAGCTGAGAGCAGAGGCCAAGGAGGCTGCTGAGCTCCAAGGTTCTCTGCTTCAAGTTCTGGCTCTTCAGTAAGTCTGCCCAAGGCTTCTTGGCCCAGAATTTCTGGCCGTATTGGCCAAGGCATTAGTAAACTAGTGGGCCCTTCACACCCTTTCCAGGACTGACAGTCAATGAACCAAGACATGGAAGTAGACAGTGCAGGTCATGAGGTTGAGGGGGCATTCAATAAGAAGTGTTGGGCCAGTAAGACCTCTGCAACCCCCTGCTCCTCCTCAGGACCTCACCTTGGGAGCCCTCTTACTTCCTGTTGTTTCTCTGTGAGTTCAGAGAGGGCAAAAGGTGGGTGAAGAAAGGAAAGAGGGACCTGGTACCCTCTGGCTGTGTTTGTCACTATGGCTCACAATTGGAATCTTATTTCTTTGACTATTCATTTGCGTATCTATGCTAAGAGGCAGAAGGACTCAATGGATAGATAACTGGCCTCAAATCCATGGTATCTAAATCCAGTCTAAGTCTGAATCATTTTCCAGCATATGGTGGAACAGAGGAATTTTCTGTAACCTACTCTGTAACCTCTAGTCAGCTCTCAGCAGTCTCTGATATATCTAGTCAGCCACATCTCTCAGCTGCAGATCCAGCAGTCGGCCTCTGCCCCAGGTCAGCAAAGGGGAACTTGGTCGTGAGGTGCCCTTGCATCTTTTGCTCTCTTGTCCATTTGTTAGTCCTGCCCTAACAAACACCGGCCCTGGCTTACCATCATCATTTACTTTGTCTTATGTACGTACTATTGAACCCTTCTGGAGAAATTGCCACAGGCTTGCTGAATGAAGTCATTGCATACATGTTACCTAATCATAACTAGGTTCTCACTGCTGTACAACCACACTTTTAGAGATGCACCTTATCACGCTCTACACTGGACCTGAGTCAGGAAGACCCAAGTTCAAATCTGGCCTTGGACACTTCCTAGCTGTGTGACCCTGGATAAGTCACTTTTCTTTTCCAAGAGCATCTGCCTCCCAGGGTTGCGGGGAGGGTCAAAGGAGAAAATATTTGTAAAGCACTTTGCAAACCTTTAAGCACTATATAAATGCTACCTATTGTTATTTTAAACCTCCTCTCTTTGACCCCCTAGTCTGCCATAATAACCTGAAGCAAAATAGAACCCTGTGTTCCAGGCCACCTTTTCAGAAGTCTCCACTCTCCCAAGCCATTGAGAACTAGAGGAATTTGAAGCAGGGCACACCATAGCTCTGTAGCCTTCTCTGTCCTCCTGCATCCCAAAGTGAAGGTTACAGAAAGCTAAAGAGCAAAACAGGGTGTGAATACAGCCTGAGATGGAATTGATTCATTAACAAGTATTTTAGAAACATGTTAGTTCATAAAGTGAGGCATACTTGAATTTTGTTTATCTTTTGATTTCTTGCAAAAAATGTTTAAAGAGAAAACAATTAGGTTTTAAAAGATAAACGCGTGGTACATGTGCCGATATCCATGGTGTTCCCGCTTGTGGCAGAGCCCAGTTTCTTGGTAATACCTCTTACTCTGACAGAATGTGGACTGAGAATGTGTTTTCCCTGTGTGGTGTTCTATAACATTTATCCATGGGCTCTTGTAGGCTCTGAAGCCTCCAGTTAGCTGTAGTGGAGGTTGGGGCTGCTGTATATAGAGCTGGGCTTTCAGTCAGCCCTTGGGCTGCCCAGCTGAGCGGGCCTGAGGGAAGATAGCAGATCCAGTGACAGATTCCTCAACTCTTGTTCAGACAAAGCTGGCTGGTAGCCCATCAGTCACCACAGATAGCCTGCATTTGGGTCACCCTTTTATAGGGCAATGAGCAGCGCCAGGCCTGGGAAACATTGTGGCTGTGCCTGGAATTTGGGTAGAAGGAATGATTTCCCAAACCCTGCCCCTGAGTAATGAACTGAACCCAGGACTGGAGCTGAGGCAAGACTTGTAATTGTGAGAAATTGTATAGCTGGGAGGCCTGGAGCAGAGGCCCCGGGCCAGATCCTCATAGTGCATTCAGAGGTAGCGTCTCTGCAGAGGGCCCTCGTGTTGCTGTGCGGCCTCATCGATCTCCTGTTGGCTTTGGCAAATCACCTTCATCAAGTAATAGGGCCGGTCAAATGCGATCATCCAACATCAGTTTGCCTTTTATGTGTTCTCGGGAACAGAACATGGACCAGGGGTCACATACCAGCTAAACAATGTGCAGGTTGGGAGCCGGGTCAGTCAGCAGTGAGTAGAGGCCCTTGGGGTTGAAGAAGCACCCCTCCTTGAGCACCATGTGGCTGTAGGAGTTGCAGGCCTTCACCATCCCACTGAAGGGCTGCTTTCTGCACAAAGGCCTGCATTCCAACTCCACGCAGAAAGGCGCCACAGGCAGGGGGAGAGCACGAGGCCCTCCTTGTCTCCCACACGAAGAGGTCAGATTGTTTTCTGGATCCAGGGCCAGCTAGTTGCCAAGGACAGTCATATCACAGGCAGATGGAGCGGACCAGGTCCTGCATGTGCTCCTGCAGCATGGCAAAGCTGCTCCTAAAGAAAGCCAGATAGAAGACGTCTGGGTGCTGGCTGAAGGATGGCCCCATGAGGGAGGAGCCAGAGCGCCATGAAGAAGGATCAGCACCTGCATCTCTCTTGGATTCTTCAGACTTCCGCTGTTGCTGGGGAGTCGGAAGAACAAAATGATGACTGTGGGTTGCAATGCCAGGAAGAAGAGGAGCCTTGGCTTGTTTTCCAGGAGAACTCTCCAGGAGGTAGGAAGCCTGTCAGGTCCAAAAATATGTGCTCTCTCAAGCGTCAAGGTCAATATCCTCACTCTCACCCTTTCTCTGGAGATGCTGAACCCAGCCATATCTGGTCACAACTTCCCAGATCACTCCTCTCCCTAGGAGCGTGGCATTAATTCCACATTCCTAGTCCCTTGGAATTCCTCCCTTGTTTTCCCTTGCTCCTTAGTTCTGTAGTGCCACAGGAGGGCCAAGAGTGCCTGAACCCACCTATTTTTATCTCTTTCTAAATCACCCTTCTTCCATGTAGCAGATGAATATGTCTTGGCTCTCTCCATATGCCCTCATGGCCTGGGGTTTTTTGTTTGTTTGTTTTGTTTGTTTTTTTAATGGAAAAGTGAAGTGTGGCCCCACTTCTCCCTCAAAACTTACATGCTTTCTTATGACATAAGCAAATGTCAAAGAATTACATCACAGAGGAAGTCAGCATATGTCAGCCTGTTCACTGTCAAGACCACGTTGTAAGGCAGCCACTCATACATGGCAGGTAGTTTCTATCAAGAAGGAGGTGTTCAGGTTTTTAGCTCACCTGCCCAAGAAGGGGACAGTTAGATTAAATGTCTCGAGGTCAGGGAGCCAGTATCTCTAAGTGTCCAAGTACTGTCAGTAATGCACAACCTTAGTAAAGTATTCTAAGTTCTTCAAACAGATCTCTGTCAGAGTGCAAAAGTAAAAGGCAAAATAATGGCTCAGAACCCATAGCTCTGAGATCACAGGGACCACATTCTGTTTTGACAGCTTCTCAAATTGTCATTTCTGTGATTTATATTACCCTCACCCAGGACTCAGGCCCTGGGAATATCTGAATTTTAACTCATTTCTATTCCTCCCCTGTAAGTATTCAATTCCCTTGAAAGTTTCTCAGGCTACCAAGGCATGAAAGTTAAGTCGATAAGAATTTATTATGCACTTACTGTGTGGTAGGCACTACTGCTATCTTTAATCATTAGAGTTACAAAGAACAGCAGAAGCAGTTCCTGCCCTCAGGGAGCTCACAATGTAATGGGACATGCAGGCAACTTTGTACCGATAGATTGAGCATGAATCTAAGGTAAATCACAGAAAAAAGACACTAAAAATAACGGAGGGGGCAGCTAGGTGGTGCAGTGGATAGAGCTCTGGCCTTGGAGTCAGGAGGACTTGAGTTCAAATCCGGCCTTAGACACTTGACCCTTACTAACTGTGTGACCTTGGCCAAGTCACTTAACCTCTATTGCCTCGCCAAAGCAACAACAGCAAGGGTGACCAGCTTCTTGTAGCAGGTGGGATTTTAGCTGAGACTTGAAGGAAATCACGTGAGTCAGAGGGAAACCAGGGAAGCCAGAAGGTGGAGGCCAGGAGGGAGAGTGCTCCAGGCTTGGGGAAGAGCCTGGGGAAATTCAGTGTGGAGGAGGGAGGGCTGTGAGCAGGAAACAGCAAAGGAGGCTGGCGTCACAGTGTCACAGACTGTGTAAAGGGTAAGAAGGTGAGAAAGGTCCGAGAGCTTTGTCCTTGGTCCTAGAGGCAGTAGGGAGCCACTGGAGTTCATTGAATAGGAGATGGAATGTTGGCTCTGCACTTTGGGAAGATCCCTTTGGTGGCCAAGTGGAGAGTGGACCGGCATGGGGAGAGGCTGGAGGCAGGACGACCAGCCAGAAGGCTATTGCGGTAGTCCAGGTGTGAGGTCAGGGCCCACACCAGCATTGTGGCAGTGTCAGAGGGGGATGGGGTGAATGTGAGAGGCGGTGCAAAGGTAAAGTCAGCAGATTGGATGTGAGGCTGAGAGAGGAAGGAGTCAAGAAGGGCCTCTAGGTTGTGAGCCTTGGGTGCCTGGGACGATGGAGTTAACCTTGACAATAATAGATAAGTTAGGAAGAAGGGAAAGAGAATGAGTTGGGGTTGTGTTAAGTTTAAGATGTGTATGGGACATCTAGTTCCAGGTGCCTAATTGACCTTTGGAGATGAGAGACTGGAGGTCAGGGAAGACATTGGGGCTGGATAAATAGATCTGAGAATCATCTGCGTAGATGACATGAATGTGGAATATGGAACAAGTTTATAACACTCACAGATAAAGAAATTCTGTCTGAGCCCATAGTCACCGTAACCCTTCTGGGGGACATCCTCTTGCCTAGAGACTATAGAGTCTGTCCAGCTTAGTGCTTAAAAATTTTTTTTCAGTGTTTAGATTGTCAAGAGTTTTCTGTGTTAAGTATGGATACAAACTACTTTTTTTTTTTGATACAGCTATCCAATTTTCCTGACATTGAATGATGGAAAAGAGATGAGAGAAGGGTTTATAAACTCTCAGTTCTGTCTCAGCCACTCCAGAGGTACCAGCTCTTCCTGTTTGGAAGCCAGTTAGAAGACTGTTTGTCATCACACAGTATTGGCCCTTCAGTCCTGATGCTTACCAGCAATCTAACCCTGGGCCAATCAGTCACATTTCACCTCCTCTGAACTTCAGTTTCCTTATCTCTAAAATGGGGCTAATCCTTGTGCTTCATAGAATAATTGTGAGGTAAGCACCTAGGAACCTTGAAAGCACTTTATGGATGGCTTATTTCTCATTGTGATATTGTCTTATTCAAGAGAAACACTAGTAAACATTTGTTGAACTGAGCTACTGAGTCTTGAAAGTGCCCCTGCCCATCAACTGTTGGTTCCTCGGCTGGTATTTATGGAGAAGATAGCACCACAGTCTTGGTGAATGGATGCTGCAGCCTTCTGCCTTATTTTCTGCCTCTAATCACCAAAGCCATAACTAGCATGAGGCCACCAGAGCTTTATCCCAGGATGCCAGAATTATCGGGGTGCTGACTGTATTTTCGCCACCTTCCAGTGGTCCCTCCCCAAGGAGAAGGAGACTCCAGGTGCTCTGCAGGTTCTGTTCTAGAACAACAGGGGTCCAGAAGACAGGTATTGCTCTTCTAGACCAGGTATGGCACCAAGCAGAAGGGCAGTGCAGATTCTAGGTAGTTGAGGGATAAGTGACAGGAGGAGACATAATCTGAATGATTTCTACAGTTCTTTCGGCTCAGAGATTCTGTGATCTTACAGTTTAAGGTGTGCCAGCCACAGAAACCAGACTCTGAGCCCCACATATTCTCTTTCTTTATTTCTCCCTCCTCCACCCCACAATTCCTGGTAAGAAGAGAACAGTGAAGCAAAGAAGCCTTAAAAGACCTGAGAGGGTCTGATATACTAGGTTCATTTCCCCAGAACAGTTGCAGTTTTCGTGTCAAGTTTCCTGAATTGGAAAAGAAACCGACCCGTTTTGTTGTGTTCTTTCCTTTTTCGCTCTGTCTGTCTTCCATTTCACTGGGGCAGTGCACCAGCATCTGGTAAGCAGCTCCCACCTTATTTGCATCTCATCATCAGATATGTTGAATGGGACTATGTTCAGGTCACTGCTGTGCACACAAATGAGAACCAGACATGTTTCCTACCCTTAATCATCTGCCTAATTGAGGAGACAGTACATATGTGTAATAAGACAAAATAGAAGGTCCCATCGCATGCCAATCAACAAATGAGTAGGGTAACAGTTCGTACCCTTCGGCTATTGCTGTGCACAATGGAGGGTGCTGAGACTCGGAGTTACTTGCATTGCCATCCAGTGGCAGCAGTTGTTTTGAAATAATTTATAAGTAAACATATGGGAGAAAATGGCAGAGTTGTTTTTCTAAATCATCTCCAACCTAACAACTTCACAAAAAAAGAAATTATCAGTTGTGTCTAGAACACCAAAGCTGAATCCACAGGATAAGAAGGCAGAAATAGTGTGCAAGGTAAAACACAAACATAACATCACAGGATACCATGATGACACAACACATTCCATCACAACACTGGAGGAGAACCTGAATACTTAGAGCTTCCATTTAGCACATGGAGCAGTGAACCCAAGCAGCTGCCAAGAACTTTGCTTCATGGAATATGGGGGTTAACCATCCCTCTCCCCGCTGATCTCCTGAGCTTTGAGGATGAAAGAGGAACAGCTGGAGTGTGCATGTGGGAGACAAGGCAGCATAGAGCGCAGCACAGAGGTGGCCAGAGAGCTGCGTGTGCCTGAGAGAAAAGGAGCCAAAACCCCTTCTCTGCGGGCCAAGCTTACCAGGGATGCCCAGCCTTGGAGAGTCAAGGATCTCAAACCTAACATGTCTAAAACCAAAACCATTCTTTTTTGCCCCAGAGCAGCCTATCTTCCAAACTTGCCTGTTGCTATCGAAGTCATCACCATTATTTCAGTTTTCCAGGTTTGTAACTTCAGCTTGGGGCAGCTAGATGGCACGGTGACCTGTCCTACAAATCTAAGCCTAACTATAAATTTTTTTAAAAGATGAATATTCAATAACAAATGGGCATTTGAAATAATCTTAGAAAGAAAACAGACCTGAAGAGATTATTTCCTTTTAAAATGCCCCAGACAACAGAAACACAAGAAGGGTAAACAAATACAAACCAAAAATGACAAAATAACAGTGACTATTCAGGGCCTTCTTTCTTTCTTTTTTTAAATTTTTGGCTAGGCAGAGGGGTTGAGTGACTTGCCCAGGGTCACACAGCTAGTTAAGTGCTAAGTGTCTGAGGCCGGATTTGAACTCAGGTCCTCCTGACTCTAGGGCTGGTGCTGTATCACTATGCCACCTAACTGCCCCAGGGGCCTTCTTTCTAAATGCACACAAGGAGACAAGGGTGAACACAGAAGTCAAAGAGAAGTGGTGATGGAGAAGCTAGTCCAAAACATTGTAAACCAAACCTTACAATACCTTACCTACAGGCAAACCAATGTTTGTTTGTTTTGTGGGAGACTCAATTACAAAGTAGGAGGGCACATAAAAAGAGAAAGCGGAAGAAGAAAATAAGAATGTGCCCTAATCATCAGAGGCTAACAATGAAGGGCAAAACTACTTCAGTCTTTCAGGAAGAAAAGAACCTACAGGAGAATGGACAAGGAGGCAAAGGCAGGGATTAAGAAACGGGGAAACCTTGTTTCGGTGGGGGGAGGGAGTACCACTGATGAGGGTTATGAAAGAAGAGACGGGGATTTTATCCGCTTCAATGGATATTATTTGCAGGGATTTGGTGCTTAGGCCATTCATCCTGCATCAGGAGTAGGAGAATCAGAGCTCCTGGAAATGAGAGACATCCAAAAGATTGGGAAGCCCTGGACCTGAGGAAAAAACTTTAAGGCAAATGAAGGCCAAATGACTAAGAGTAGGACGAAGGTCAAAAATGGACTGACAGTCAGGGACATAGGAAGAGTTCTACTATAGGGTAGTATCCTCTCTATCACCTGTAGGAATCGTTATTTCCAGAAGTAAGACAAAATAAAAGGGGGTTAGGGCTGCAAGGGGTAGGATCTAAAAGTAATAACAGAAGCTGTTTTAAGAGAAACAGACAAAAAGAAATCCAAAGTTCTAATTCCATGAGGAATAAAGAAAACAAAAGACTATATGGGAAATGAAGCAAAAAAAACCCAAAAGTCTGGAATAGGGAGAAGGGGAAGATAAATAACGAAGAGAAAAGAAAAGTGAAAAAAAATTTAAATATAATGGAAAAATTGGGGAATGAGGGATTCTGCTTGACCGAGGGGGAGAAATTAAATAAGCAGATAAAAGCAAGCAAGAAAAAGGAACCAATAAGCAAGACTCCACAACCAGAGAAAGGAGTAGTAAATGGGAGACAGAGGTGAGGAGGAATGTAAGCGTTAAGGGAAGAGAACCAGTGGAATATGGCTGCCTTTAAAAAGATTAAAATAACTGAACATATACTTTTGTGAACAATGGAAAGGAAAAAAAAATTTGGAAAAAATATTAGAGACAAATGGAGGAAAATAAAAACCTTATTCTCAAAACTATGAATGTGATGAATTAAACAATTCAATAAAACCAAAAAGTGATATTCAGTTAAAAAAAAATAAGCCCACAATCTCTTGCTAACAAAAAAGTTTTTTAAAAGCACAGAATAAAAATGGGGGCCTGGAAAAAAATTTACTCCATGAAGTGATTCCAAAAAAGCAGGCGTTAGAATCATGCTGTCAGCCAAAGCAAGAACCAACGTTCAAAACAAAGGGGACAAATGAGGGAATTACATTTTATATAAGTTAGCCAATCTAATAAAAAGGAAGAGGGCAAAAAATCAAATCAAAATAGCAAATGAGCTAGGTGAAAACACAACAAAGCCAGAAAAACGTAAAAAGAATAATTAGGACCTACGATGCAGAGTTATATGCTAGCAAAACCAAGAGCACAGAGAAATGCTTTCAAAAATATAAGATACCCAAACTTATTATTTCACCAAATGGAGATCTTAATGTAATCTCAGAAAAAGGAAATAGATCTTTAATCTCTCATATCCCAATTGGATGTCCAGTAGACATCTAACCATTACCTTTCCCCCGACCCCACCCCACACTCCTATTATCCCTGTTACTGTAAAGGACAATCCCTTCCTCTCAGTCTCTGAGGTTTACAACCCAGGAGGTATCCTTCACACTTCACTATCACCCCCTAATAATACTAATAGCCAGGATTTATATAATGCCAACTGTGTGACAGGCACTGTGCTAAGCACCTTACAATTATTGCATTTGAGCATTACAACAGCAATAATCATAGCGCCTGGAAAGGTGGTGCTATTATCCCCATTTTACAGATGAAGAAACTGAGGCAAATAGGTTGAATGACTATTACCAGAGTCACAGCTAGTAAGTGTCTGAGGCTGGATTTGAATTCAGGTTTTCCTGACTCCAAGTTCGAAACTCTATCTACCATGCCACCTAGCAGCCAAGCATTTTCCAAGGCCTGTCGATTTCACTTCTGCAACATCTTTCAAATACGCTCCCTTCTCTTGTCTGATGCTGCAACTACCCTGGTTCAGGCTCTTATCACCTCATCCCTGGACTACTGCTATACCCTGCTGGTGGGTCTGCCTCCCTTCATTCTCTCCCCATTCCATCCTCCATTCAGCCACTAAAATGACTTTCCTAAAGCATAGGTCTGACCGTATCGTTCCCCGACTCAGTAAACTTCAGTGGCTCCCCATTGCTTTCAGCATCAAATACGAAGTGTTGTGTTTGGCATTCAAAGCCTTTCATAACCTGGCTCCCTCCTAACTTATTAGTGTCCCTACACCTTACTTCCCTCCAGGTGCGCTTCAATCCAGTGACGCTGGCCTCCTGACCTGTCTCGGTTCTGGGCATTTTCCGTGGCTCTCACCCATACCTAGAATGCTATCCCTCCTCCACTCCGCCTGCCCACTTCTTAGCTTCCTTTAGGATCCAACTAAAATCTCATCTTTTATAGGAAGCCTTTCTCAACCCCTCTTAATTCCAGTGCCTTCCCACTATTGTTTCCTGTTTATACCATATATAGTCTGCTCTGTATGTAATTGTTTGCATGTCGTCTTCCCCCATTAGACTGTAAGCTTCTTGAGGGCAGGGATTGTCTTTTGCTCCTTTTTGTGTCCCCAGCAATTAGCACAGTGCTTGGCACATCGTAAATGCTTAATTAATAAATGTTTATTCTGAAAATGCATAACAACAGCAGTCAGACAAATTAAAGGTATAAATATGAGTAAAGGAGATAAAGCTATCCCTATTTGCTGATGATGTGATA